CCACTTGAACACCATCGGCACTGACAAAATCACCATCGGTCAATTGCAAAAGGCAGCTTTACTTGGAACAGCTTATATCCCGTAACGATACCTTTAATGCCATCAAACAACATCTGCCTATCCCAGGTCCTTGGGAAGGACTCAATAGGTGGATAAAAATGCCAAATCCAGTCTAAACATCTGGCTGACTGCGACCAACCATAATACAATAAAGTGATTCTGAATTGCAGGATATATTTTCTTCATGCGGCCTTCCTGGGAGTTGTAATCTAACAAATCTAGAGGGCTGCTTATGGGAAGGACTGGCTTATGCCGATTCTTCTAGTTTGTAACCCTTTTCTTAGGATGTTCAGGATCTGGCCTGGCCTGCACTTACCTGTTCTTGTTTTAATGCTGCTCAACTTGTTTTGTGCTATTTACATATTGTAATGAGGAAAAAGAACAAATATATTACACTGTGTTAAATCAGGGATGCACAGCCTTTTTTGGGACCAAGGACTATACTTGGCCCTTGACTGATATGCCATAAGCTGTATTTCCAGTTTGATCCAGGACAACAGAATTATTTTAATTTAAGATCAAACATTTAAAAGTGCTTCAGGAACTTGCAAAATCAGTTTGACTAGAGGAACAAGTGAAGCAAATATATACCGTGTGTGTGTGTGTGTGTGTGTGTGTGTATAGAAAATACTCCTATCTGAAATCTCAAAGAGCTGATGAAGGACAAACCTTCCTTCAGCTGTGTTGGACATTACCTGTTGGGGAATTAAGAGTATTAGGGCCCAACACATCTGGAGACCATTAGATTGAGAAAGCTAGTGTAGACAGTACCAAGCCAGATGATCCCAGGTCTGATTTAGTGAAAACATAAACAACAGTTCCTTACTTGGGTAAAATAATTAACTATGGTCTGTCTCAAACAAAGGAGAGGAGGCAACTGACATGTAGAAGAAGAAACATGTGACCCTGAGGCCCTATCCAGATATATTCATACAATACTATGGTTCAGTTTTTCATTATATCAGATCCACTGATCTGGCTTTAATAAAACGGAGGTTATCTAATAGATGTTTCTTGCTATCTAGTGCTGTAGTTTGTGAACAAAATCAATCCAAACCAAAAACGAGGAGAGAGAGATGGGAGGAAAACAGATGGAGGGAACAATCTGGCAGCTGTTTTATACTTTTAGAGACAGAGTTCTGTGAGACATGGCACATTTGCCCACAAGAATTCTTGAAGATCAACTTTCCCCAAGAAGCCTATTTGAACTATATATTTAGGGTATATCAAGTATCCTAAACCATATGAGCATTAAAGACACATATGTTAGTGTTGATGCAGAAGTGCTATGACTGTTAGCAAAAATTACCAATCAAGGATAGAATTTCCTTTTCATTCTTTTGAAGTTTTTCTATCCAATAATGGCCATTAGCTTTTAACATGTATAAGATCATTTACAATTTAAAATGATATGCCATGAAAAGTATTAAAATTTTAAATCAGCCTGGTTACTGATGACAGCACACCCATTGTGTGATTTTTAGATTTTTTCTTTAAAAAAGAAAAAAAAACCCTCAAAGAGATATTAAAATTGACAACCACATTTGACCTTATCATGTACATATAAGCAGGGGCAATATTGTCATAATTCATTGTTTGTCACAATATAGAGAGGTAACAACATACAGTTCATGTGATTTTATTTAACATAACAAAAATGGAACATCTATACTATCAGCCCCTTTCCCCAAAACAGAAAAAGTGCAGCTATAAAATGGTTTCTAACATGAACAAATGGTTTAGCAATGTTTCATCTTCTTTACAACTACTTTTGAAGCACTACATTTTAAAATGTATGTTTGCAATATTGTTGTTACTTATGCTCTGGTATAGAATCGTAACACACTTGTATACAACTCACAGCTAGATTGATTCTTACTTATTTTTAGAATTATGTAACTGTTCCATTTATATGGGTATTAAAAGACCAATTCTTCTTGCAGAGGAATAAGTTAAAACCATAAGAGGGGCTGCAGACTTCAGATAATTACATAGCATTTTCAGCATAAATATAGATTAGATTCTGAAACAACAGTACTTGCTTTTTTAAAAATAACTACTTTGACCACAGGCCAGATTTTTAAAATCTGACAACTTTCTTTTGACTGATGTTTATCAAAGTGTGTGCACACATGCTGTAGGTACAACAGGGAAATAAATACTTTTTACTTGGTCAATAAATATCTTGGTAAGAATTAAAATCTCACCATGCCACCAAGGAACAGAGACTGATATAGGAAAATGAAGTTTCCCATCTTAAGTAGTATGATTCTGTTTAAACTAAGGTCTGTATTTGCTCAACAGCAGATTTTTAAAATGGTGGTAAGTTGCACACAACGACGTTGCTTCTAGCATTGCACAAGGTATATAGTGCTATGCCTTGATTCCATTAATTGTCACACTTCTTCAGTGCATTTTTACAAATGCAAGATATTAACAAATCAGCTTTGCTGGATGTAGAATCAATAAGGTACACTATTCACAGGATCTCTGGAAATACTACCCATAACATTCAGCTTAAAGGCATTGGATAACTACATGAAAAAGTCTACACCATCTTAAGAGCTGCCTTGATCAGCAGAGTATCCAAAATTAGTACAAAAAGATACAATACCTGTGATGGTACACTGGTCCAGGAAATCTCCCATGTGTCATAAAAGCTTGAAAACAATCTAGACTTACTATGTCTTCTAGATAACACTCACTAAAATAGTGTTATATGAGGAACATGTTTTATTTCATGTTTTTTAAAAGTATGCTAGATTTGATCTGAAAAATTACAAATCTCTCAACACCTTTCCTTCTTCCTCATCATCACTATCAGTCACATTGACTTGCTGTACACTAGAGGGTGTGGAAGGGGTTGCTGTAAAAACATTTTCAAGTGCCCCAATGTCCAACTGTGGCATAGGGTTTAAATATTCTTCTTCAGTCTGACTGTGGCTGCTGTAATAGGATGTCCCTTCCAAGCTCTCACAGCTACGGGAGTCTTCACTATGTGTGTGTTCATCAGGGTATTCTCTAAAAGGGTAGTCTCTGTTCAGGGCAGAAAACATGGCCTCATGCTTTTGATACTGGTCTTCATAAAAGCCAAGGCACTCAGGCATGGAGCTGGGGAAATTTCCATAGCCGAAAGGAGGACGGCTATATGGACATGTGCTGCATCAAAACAAAGAAAAAATGTTACTTCAATAGTTTTACCATAGATATATATATATTTTAGATTTTTTAACCCACCTTTATTATTTTTTATAAATAACTCAAGGCAGCCAACATACCTAATACTCCCTCCTCCTCCTATTTTTCCCAAAAGAACTACCCTGTGAGGTGAGTTGGACCTAGATATTACTGATACATTAATACTAATATATTATATATAATATATAAAAATATAATATACTAATATAATACATTACTACTACTGATATATTACTACTAACACATATGGGATATGAATAGAATATATGAAGCTCAGGGCTGAATTAAGGAGTCCTTGGTGCTCTCTGAGCTTGGTTGTTTGACTGTAGACATTTCATTACCCGACTAGGTAACATCATCAGTGCTGATGAGTACCTCAAACAACCAAGCTCAGAGAGCACTAAGGACTCCACATACAGGATATCTTTATTTAAGTCTTGAGTTAATCTAATAGAAGGGCACACTATCTTTCAGGCTGAAAACTGTATTTGACTTTCCAGTAGAAGGCCAAGCGACCAAGGGAATAGGTAGCAGCAGGATAAAAAGTTAACTTCATTTAATTTAAATTCTGTTAAAAATATAATTTAACATTTCATTAGTGTACTTAATTAAAGGTATTATAGTTATTTCCCATATATTTAGTATTTTTTTTCTTTCACATTAAAATTTACAGTTCTGTAACAACTTTTGGGGGACCTCAGTAGCTGCACCTAAGGTTTTTGCAGAAGCATATGAGACCCTAAAACCGCAGGCTCTATGTATAGCCCTGCCCTAACACAAGAAGCAGAATATCGACTAGATAGTCATATTGTACACAAGTCAATCCAGAGGCAGGACAATTTGGTCACCCACCAACTTTTAATAAAGGCTGATTTAATTAATGAATAAACAATATTTGACTCATACCAAAATGACCCTCGTGGAAGAATGTAAAAAAGGAGTAGTAGTCATCCAAGGAGAGATTGACCCAAGGAGAGGTTCACCTAAAATACTAAGGTGGATTTATTTTATTCTGTTTTAGTATGTTGTGCAAATTCAGACATTATGATTTATAAAACATGTTTTATGATTTACTGTCTAGTGCAAACCACTATAGCTTATTCAGCAAACTATGGTCAAAACAAAACATAACTTAGCCAGATGGGTGACCTCAGCAGAAAAGTGATCATACAAGAAAACTAAAAACTGAGCCAGTTTGGTGTGGTGATGAAGGTGCTGGCTTAGAAATCAGGAGACTTGTGAGTTCTAGGCCTCCCTTAGACATGAAAACTGGCTGGGTGACTTCAGGCCAGTCACTCTCTCTCAGCCCAACCCACCTCACAGAATTGTTGCTGTGGGGATAATAGGAGGCGGGAGTACTAGGTATGCTTGCCGCCTTGATTGATACATATTGGAATATCATCATCATCATCATCATCATCATCATCATCCAAAATCTTCTCTCCAAGGAAGACAGTGGCTTCAGGTCTAAAATATACACATGTCGAGATTGTGATGGGCTTATACCTAACTTAAGAAAAATCAAGGCTAGAAGTCAGAGACAGATCCAATGGAGTTTGTGGTCTCTAATCAAAAACTGTTGTGTAGAGCCCCAAGCATTCAGGACTTCTCTTGGAAATATTTGTTTTAGTGATTAAATGAGTATGGTGATTCTGACTTGTTTTTCCCACTTTGGAATATCTTGTTTCATGTTTTTGTAATAAATTAAATTTTTAAAAAGGGAAAATAATGTACCAGATGGGTTTGAAAGAGTGAACATGGGAGAAAAATCCTGAAAAGCCTCTATGGTGATTGGAAAACTTGATGAAAATAATTTAAGTGGAATGAAATATATGGAAATTCCATATGAAAGGAAACAGAGGGAGAACAGAAGGAAAATTGTCTAATATTATCACCCTTTTGTTCATAGTAGACTGCAAACCTTGGGATATTGTGCCTAATTACATATTCCAGAATGTAAGTATGTGATTGCATTACCTTGATGGGAAATAATGAGGCCCAGGTAAAAAGTAAGGATGGTGAAATGAAAATCGAGGAGGAGCTCCAAAGAGAGTTGCTGGATGACCAATGGGAGGAGGTTGATAGACGTGTGGATGAGGGATAGGTGGTGCTTGAGGAATGGGTCCATTTCTAGAACTTGAAGAAACACCTGAGTATTCCTTGGGGGGTTGGCTATTTGAGACACTGAATCTAGGGTGAGTGGTGCTTGTATTATTTGGGGTCCTGCTTGAGCTCTCAAGAGAAATCTGGGTGGGTCTCTTTATAGAGCAATTTGTTCCTGAAGATACACGATGAGCTTCTGTTGGGGAAGGTGCAGCAAATCGTTGAGGCTGAAGGACTGGGCGAATTGGCAGGTTTGCAGTTGAGGCAGCTAATGGCGTTGTGTTTCCTACACTTGGCTGGAACAGCGTAATGGGGCCTGGATGCTGAGCAGAAGGAGCTGGCAGCTGGATAGTAGAAGCGGCTTCACCTTTGGAGAAGGAAAATGATCAGTCATAACTGAGAAACTCACATTAATAGTATTTTCTTATTTAAAGTTTACTTCATTTTCTTTTACTGCAAAACATTTGCCTACAAATAACTATTATACTTAATATGCAAAGATCATTATACGTTGTGTTTCTGTAATCAATATGTACAAGACTATATTATAATCTATACTTTTACAGGAATATACTATGCAATTATATACTTTGACAAAAAAAGATAAATATTAAAGTATGATACAATTCCTTATAAATTTTCAAATGTGAAAACTCAAATTCCTTCTGCTTTTGGAAACCTCATCACTATTATCAACAATAAAAGGTTATTGCTTACTTTTCTTTAATATAAAAAAGCATGGGGCTGGGTTATTTGAGGGGCCACCTCTCTCCAATCACATCTACTCATCCCATCAGGTCCAGCAGGAAGGGCATGTCATGGGTTGTGTCCACAAAGGAATATCATCTGATGGGACCAAGGAGGAGAGGTTTTTCTGCCACAGCACCCACCCTTTGAAATATCATTCCCTGTGAGGTCAGATTGGCCCTGACCTTGCTGGCCTTCCAGAAGGGCCTAAAAAGATGGTTTTGCCATCTGGCCTGGGGATCCAGGAACATGGATATGGAGACTGCAAAGTGGCTGTATTGCTAGGGAAACTGAATGCGCTGTCCCACAGATTATGGGTTTTTGTTTTGCTTTTTAATGGTTATTGTTTTTAATGTTTTAAATGGTTTCTGTTCTTATATTTTTGGTTATTTTGTTGTATTGTTTTTGTGCTTTTAACTTTGTACACTGCTCAGAGTCACGTAAGATTTACCAAATAAATAAATAAAATAATATCCTTCATCTTAACATCCAAAGATATCTGTGATACCTTTCATGAATCAGTAAATGTATTAATGGTAGCCTATATTTAGATCTTTATTTCATTGTTTTCTAATATATGGAATTAGAAGTCAAAATCAGGCTAAACACGTATCCAAAAGTTAGGACACCAGCTATTCAGGTTCATCTGGTAAGTATTATGCCTCAATTTGGGTGAAATTATAATTGCTTATAGGAGATTATGTTCCTGCATCTGGTCTTATTTTTCTCTGTCAAATCTAGCATGATGAATGCTGCTTCCAAATATGGATTTATTGTGGATCATCACAATAATAATGAAGTTCTTCATGATATCTTTGGCTCTTTCCCTTCTGGAGAAAGTTTAACTTTCTCAAGAAGGATGGAAAAAAATAGTGATGTGGTTTTGATAT